AAATCAGAGGAAATATTTCTTGTTTTAGATCAGTTAGAATTACCAAATGTATTTATTTTTGTTAAGTGTCACTGACAGAAAGATGAGTCACTTAGAGTGACTCATACATTATGTATATATCATTGAACTTTTAATCTGAGAAGGTTGATCAATCAATGAGTACAAAAGATAAAAGACAAAAAAGTTACTTTTTCTGTTCTTATGCAATAGCACACTGAATATTTTACACACACACACACACACACACACACACTGAACTTCAATACCTATTTATCCTTGCCAGGTTGGGGTGTGGATGCACTTTGGACACTTTGCTAATCCATCACAAGGCAAAGACATAGAAAAATGAACCTTTTTTTACTATTCATATTTCTGTTTGTACATTTTGCATACAATTTTTCTCAATGTCCATCTGCTATCCAAAACCAAGGAGGGATCATTTGTACTTCTCAATTTACTCTGTTAGTGGACATTTGTTGCCAGTCTGCAAAATTACTTTAAAAGTTTTTTTCTATTAAAATAAAACTATTATCCATTTCATTTTTTTCACATCATTGATGCGCTCTACCAGTTAGCAATTTGTTTTATTTCCTCATATACAGAATGAGAAGTGTCATAAAATAACCATGAGTGCTGCATCGGGTGTTAAGCCAACAACAGTGGTGGGATTCTAGTGGATTGGGAAATCAGTATGACATATGAATCCACTTTGTTGATAAGTGCAATCGCTTCCCGGGGAGTTGGCATCATCTCCCGCTCTTCAGTGGGAATGCTCCAGCAGTCAGTCATTGTCCGTATCACCCAGAGTAATACGACATAGACACGGGAAGGGCCAGTTAACACGCAGTGAAACGAAACCAGGAGAAATACATAGAAGGAGACATGTTGGGCAGAAGTGAAGAGAGGAGGATAAACAAGCAGAGAGGAGAGTAACGGTAGACAGACCCCTCATCCGCCACTAAATCATGTTTATCATTCTCACTGGGAGATCAAGGAAGGCAGAGATGCCTCATCTGGAGGAGCTCTGACTGGCTCTGCTTCATGTTTTCAGACTCCATTCATTGTTCTCATTTGTAACCCGCTCTGTTTGTCAGTTTGTCTGCATTTGCTTGTATTGTGCCTTTTAGCATCGATGCTGCAAATGTCAAAAGACTTTGAGTTTCGTCGGCAAACAATGCAGTCTTGATAAGGATAAGAGATTAACCATCAGTAAAGTAGCATGTGAGCAAGAAGGGGGAGCTGAGGTATGGTGGCAGAAACATGCACTGAGCAGGGAAAATTATTTTTACATGTTTTTACCTAAGATGCAAATTCATTTAAAAAGGCTGATGCTGACCTGTTAATCCAAACATATATAAAAAACAAGGTTAAAACAAAATATAGATATACTTCATATCATAGCTGCATATCTCAGCAGATGATTAATTGTTCAGTCGTATTCAGAACTTGTAGTCAATGCTGAGGCTGCAGCTGGATTGCTTTGCTCTCCACTCAGAAGTGTTCCTGCTATTCCGTCCGGCCTGCCGAATCCTCCCTCTGGTGCTGTCATTCGACAAGCCCCTCCAACCACTTCTCCCCCTCTTCCTCATTAAAGTAGCATCTGCTGAGGTAAGAGGCCTGAATACCCCCCTCCAACATTGCACAAACGCACGCACACACACACACACACACACACACCCCACCGCTTCCTTTTGCAGACACTCATGGCTGCCATCTGCCACAGAGTTGGACGAAGCCCCACCACCGGAGCAGCCGCACGCTCTCACCATACATCCACGCTGAAAGCCCTCATTTAAAACCCGCTCAATTGCTGGAAAACGTCTCAGACACAGCAGACGTGGACGGCTGCACACAAATACACTCGCTGACATTTGCACCCGAGCTCCAGTAATCTGAGTGAGAGAAGTCCCCATGAAGGATGGCAAGATCCAACCTGCTGCACAAACCCAGCAAACTCCTCCTCTTCTCTGTGGGGACTCCAAGGGAAGAGGCAGGGGGCGGGGGGAGCGGGGGACGACAGCAAACTCTAATTAGTCCAGTGTGGCCATCGGGTCCCTCCAGCATTTCATTTCAGGAGCAGAGAAAAGGAGCGGAGCGGAAAGGAGAGGTGAGGACAGCGCGGGGAGAAAAGAACTCATGCTGATTGAACATGAAGCGTCTCCCTGTGGCTTCTTTCTCTGTCTCCTTCTCTTTTCTTTCCGTCTCTGCTTGTTGTACATAATGCCCTCTCGCTTTCAGTGCATTTGCTCGTCACCCCTCAGTTCTCCACAGTGAATAATAATGCTTGCTCTTGGAAAGAAGGAGGCAGAGGAGCGAGCCTAAGGCCATGCATTCTGATTGTCTAAGCATTCCCAAGTCGCTCTCTCTGCCTGCGCAAAAAATCAACAGTGCAGCAGGGGAGGGAGGCCGAATGCCCTGTCTCCATACTCTCTCTGGGTTGTTTTTACTTTTTAGTCATTATTTACGATCTGCATCACCCAGAGGTCCCTCTGCCTCTCCTTCCCTGAGACAAATGTTGGACCACAGGGACACTCGTCTTGTCTTTTACGAGCTGTCCAGGCAAGTTAGCAACATTTTATGTGCTCTCTGGGGATGTTTGCTCTTGCCTGCCACGCTGCCATCATCGTCACTGTCACCCGGACAGAAACAGTGGTGGGGCGAAGCGACTGGAGGAGAGATTTCTTCCAAGAGAGGCTGAACTTGAAGAGACAGTATGGCAAAGCTCCAGAACCTCAGGCTATTTGAGAAAAGGCTGCTCAGTTCACGCTAGCGAGCCACTTTACTTTGCTTTCTTTCTGCTTTGTTTTGTTTTTTTTTTTTTTTTTTGCAAATTTCCTAAAATGGGCTGAAATTTGTTCCAGACTGGAGTCAAAGACGTTCATCTATTCGGTCTGATTGGAGGCCTGACATGTTCAGTCGCATTCGAGGAATAAAAAGTATTTTTAACTCTAATCCAAAAAGCTAATAAAATCTTTTCAAACCAAGCCATGTGCAGCCGTATGCTCCTGCGGTAACAGAAGCTATTAAAGACCCATTATTTGGTTCACTGTGCCTTTCCACTGCCTGCGCCGATGTCAGATGAAATGGGCCATTGTAATCCTCATCAACATAGCTAATTTCACGTAAGGGGAAGTTGATAGAGAGTGTCAAAACCATTTAAAGGTCAACCAGGCAAGCATTTACTAGATGTGTATGTATATATAAGTAAGCCTGTTCAAATATTCTAACGCTCATTTCAAATATTTATGAGTAGAATCTCTTTTTATGCGCTGGCACATGGAGAGACCGCTGAAGCGCAGAGAGAAACAGCTGTCAGAGCTGAGAAATCAGGTAAACATAGAGGCAGCAGAACAGCTTCTGACAAAACAGGTGAACAGTTTTATGTGGACATGAAAAAGGAGGATGATCAGAAAAAGAGTTTGAAATGTTTGTCCTCGTTCCACCTGAAACGGCCGCTGCACTACAGCTAACCTTTGGACAGAAAGTGTCACGGCTCACACGTGACGGGTTGCTGCTTCAACAGAGACTCAGGCAGAGCCGTGACACAGAGGAGAGGAGAGGAGGAACGGGTCTGACATTAGAGGCAGGACGATGCTGTCACATGACCTTTAAACGCCACAGATATGTGTTTGGGATGTGTGCCAACACGGGTTACAGAAGAAAACTAAGACGACGCCTGCAGTGTACGATACTAAAACCTAGACTTGTTCAAGTTTCAAATATGTTTTCCAATCACAATCAATTAACTATTTTACCTCCAGTTATTATGAAAATGCTGTATAGATCAAATATGACTTAAAAGAAATTTTGTAAGTGCATTCAGGAAGTCATCACAGCACCATTCCTCTATGAACCGTTTAACAGCGTTATCAGCATTTCACTGAGATTTCGCCAGGATGAAGATGTTTGCTAAATGCTGCTAGCTAGTCTGCAGGAGCAAAGTGAAGGAGTCACGGGGGAGGGATGCTTTACGAGGCGGACGCTTGGAAGCTTGTGGTTTTGAGGAGTTTTGAAGGCGGCGGTAGGTCCACCCAGGCGTTTTGCACAGCTGAACTGTTGCCACGGGAGACTAAAAGATTTCTCAAACATGCATGAAAGAACATGAAAGAACACTCCAGGTATGTTTTTGACAAGGGAATAAAATTATAACATGATGTGAAGCTCAAAAAAGTTGATTTTACATAATACTGCCAGTTTAAAAAAACTGGTTAGTTTTCTTCATGTGAATGGACAGAACTTAAAATGCTTTCATCGTGTCATACTGACCACTTCAATCGAATCAAACTGAGATCACATCGTAATAAAACCCCTTTTTATTTATTTAGGCTTAAAAAGTCTTTACTGAAAGCACAATTTAAGTCATTCAACACAGATAAAGGGCTATAATTCCCAGGGTTTTTCAAAGTACCTACTGTGTTTGTACAGCATTAGGAAATCATATGAGGGCAAAGTGATGAATCCACATTTCGTCAGACCTCTGACACCTCGATCCAACCCTCTCTCTACACTTCACTATCACATGTCAGAGTGCATGAAGACACTCCATGCACCTGGCAAAATATATTACATGTACTTACAACTCGAATTCATGACACATGAATCTTTGGCCAAATCGACTGGGCAAAAAAATATTGTGCTCCAAATACTTTTATGCAGATTCATAAAGCAAAGATGATATTTGGAACATATTGTTTATCCATAATTCATGACAACTGTTACATTTACTTCAAATGTCAACAAACAGGTTTATAGTGAGTTGTATTCATTTTAGTGTGAAAACTAACAAAGATTAAAACAATACAAAAGAAAAAATGCATTTAAAATTCAAAAAATCTCGACCTTTCCAGTGAGATGTAGCATACGTTCAGTTTCAATATGTAATACGATCATTTTCATGGTGTGTATATTAATCACCGAGATGTCCTTGAAGACATAACAGCTATTTTCTGCTTGAGTTTCTTTCTAAACTACCAAAGCTTAGAACATTTCAGAGAACTTACCCGGTCACCCTGCGGCGGGCGGTGATGCTCGCCACAATAACGCTCTCCGGTCTCGGTGTGGCCACAGCCTTGAAAGTCCCTTTCCAAAACTTCTCAAAGAGCTGCTTCTCTCCCAGCTGCAGGAAGCTGCAGGTGGCGGTGCTTCCCTCCGATCCCAGGGTCGGAGAAGGACCACTGAGGTCGAGCTTGAGTGAACATGGTGTCTGCATCTCAGGGTTTTTTTTTGTGTGTGTGTCTTTTTTAATCTGCAAGTGAGATGTGATCTTTAGTCCCTCATGAGCCAGACGCTCCACAGTCTGCTGAAAACACGCTCACACGCTCTCTCCAGTTGTTGCTCGGGAACTGTCCAAGTACTGAATCAAAGCAAGTGGAGTGCAGCGGGCTGCTTTGCCGCGTCCTCTCCTCTTCGCTGCAGCGGGTCAACGTGTCAGCGCGTCTGTCTGCTCTTCAGTTGAGCTGCAGCCCGGGGAGAAGGACAAAAGCTGACCCTCTCCAGCTGAAGGCAGGGTATTGTTCTTGAAGACGGGACGGGGTGGGGGGTGGCGGGGGGGCAGATTGTGTTTCTCTCTCCGCCTCTCCTTCTCAGTCACATCTGCTGCTCTATTTGGGATGGGGTCCGGGTCGGGGAGCTTCTCTCTATCGCCCCAGTCGGAAGCTTTGCACAGTGTGAAGCGCTCCCGTCCTACAGATGGAGGAGCATGGCTCGGTCAGAAGGAGACAGGAGTTTGCGTGGTCAGACGCTGTGTTTTGATTGTACTCCCACCCACAGCAGCTGAGCAGGTTTGAGGCTCAGCTGAAGGAAGGTCTGAGTGTGAGTTTGAAGAGTGTGTGAGCGGGTGCGTCAATGAGAGCCGAGTGAGGAGCTGAACTGTGAAAAAGCTTGTTTTGTATCTCTGCGCTGGTGACGTCAGAAAGGGGGGCTGGACTCTGGGGTGGAGGGACACCTCTGTGTGTAATGTGGGTGTGTTGTTCTTGTCCCTGTTAGTTTTGAAATTAGGTTTACCTTCATCTTCACTTCCATGCATCACTGTCTGTTTCATTGTCTTCTTCTCCCCCTCTTCTTGTTCCTTCCTCTTATTAAAAAAAACAACCCTCAACCAATATTTAATAAAAGAATCCTTATATCAGATCACATAAAACCATGAATACCACAAGAAGAAGAAAAAATTCAACAGAATCTCTAAAACTACAACAAAGTTTGTGAAATACCCATAAACCACGTCCAAACACTTCACATCGTCTAGTGAGAATACAACTGTCACACTTTCTCTGTTAGCTTAATATGAATTGAATATCGATGCTGATGTTCTGTTGCCAAAATGGTTTCCCACAATCAAGTCAATGTTGAAGAGTCAATAGCAGTAATTCAAAATATAATGAGGATGTACTGCATATTAAAAAAGGATTTGTTTTTAGGCTACATTCACACAGCAGACAAATTCAACCCAAATCCAATTGTTTTTTTTTTATCCCCATATATGATTCATATCAGACTTTTTCAAAGCAGTGTAAATATTCCAGTTATAATCTTTTCAAATAAAGCCTCAATTTGTGTCACTTTCTAAACTACATCAGATGGATAATTTTGACAATATCTGCGGTCTGAACGGTCATGTTGCAGGTTATCCAACTTTTATAATAAATTATGATGATGGTGCAGCATAATTCTGCCCCAGCAGAAGCCAAATGCTGTAAATCCAGATGTAAACAATGGCTAAAAATAAAACATAATGGTGAAAGAGCCATTATGTTTAGTATAATTTTTACCTTCTTTAATTATTTTACTAGTTCGGCTTTGATAAAACATGCACATAAATTTTTCATGATAAAAGTTTGCACAAAATGGAGTCATTTTGCTTGGCAGTGTTACGTCCTTTATTTTACGTGCGATTAAGGTTTCACATTTGAATACAGCCTGCTCTGTGTCTGTGTCAGTAGCTTTTGAATTTCTTTGTCCTGCTCTCTTGGAAGCTCACACTTCATGCTGCTCAGACAAAAGGCTGGAGTAAATCAGCATAACAAAAGGCCCAGCTCAGTGAGGGCCGGTCAGGGCTTGTGCCTGATCCAAACCTCCCTGCATTTTTCTCCAAATGTTGGATTCATCTGTTTGCTCTCTAGTCTGATTGGATCACACAGGTGTGAAGGTTTTCTTATGACATGCTGTTAATATTTACGTTAAATGTGTAACTTTCACAATGTTTCTGTAATAAAATAAGTTAACTTTCAAGCTGTAGCAGAATTCTACAGAAATATTCTTATGCATCCCATGTTTTTTTTAAGTTTGAGTTTACTTTTAAGCTACTAGCGATTGACCAACCTGCAAATCTCTTTTATTGCTAACAGTACTTTTAAAACATACCATAAACATTTCAGATTAGTATTCAGTTTTCCACACTGCCTGTTACAAAACTGTTAATTCAATTGAATGAGGCTTTAAACTCTCAACCAAAATATGCAGGAACTTTTTCATATCTCAAAACCTCTTTGCTACTGATGATGTTAACTGGTTTGGATATAATTTTGGGGTGGATAAAATGACAAAGTGCCGTTTTACAGCACAGAAAAATAACTGTTTTACCTTCAGTTATTATGAAAATACTTTAAATGTAAAAATAACTTAAAACATTCTTTGAAATTGGCCTCTGTCTCTTTAAGAAACTCGTACCTTCTCCCTGCTCTCCATTGATGCAGTTAGAAGAGCTGTAGTTTGAATGAGCAGCAGACAGAGTTTTACCTGTTGTTTGTTAATAGCTGCTGCTGCTAGTCTGGTGGAGCTGTGTGTTGGAGTGGTGCTCTGTAATGGACTAAAGCTCCAAGACGGAGCTTTGGGTCCGAACTGACGCCCAAATGGTTTCCACAGGAGATTCAAGGATTCCTTAAACATGCATGAATGAATCAAAGCAACACTCAAAGATACTTTGATGGGAGAATAACTTTATGAAATTATACAAAGCTCAAAAAAGTTGATCGTGCAGAATGCCCACCCCGTTTTAACTTGATCTCTCTCCTGGATCAAGGCAAGCAAAGAGCTACTGCTGAAAATAACTCTTTACTTTTTCTTTAAGTTATAACGTACTCCTGAACCAGTAGTGCTTCTTTTGTTGTTGTGTCTGCTCAATCTTGGAAAAGCCTCACTCTACTGCAGCAGATGGCAGCTCATGCTGGGCCTGCTTCTCTTAGAGTTTTTTTTTTTTTCTTAGGAGTCAATCTTTTCTACTGTTACCACATGCTCAGAATGAGTTATTTCTGCAAAACTGAAACAATGCAATCAACTGGTTTTCCTTTAAAAGCTAATTTTTTAGCCAACCACTTGACACAATAACAATTGCATTGCTTTATAATTAGAGTTAAGTTCTAAGGTATACACAAAACAAAAATCACAAAAATATAATTGTTATAATTTTATATGTACAGCTATTATTCCTTAAATAAAGATTTATTTATATTTTCTGGGTTTTGTTTCAGTCAGCTCGTTTGAGATTAAATTAAAAGTGTTTTTATTTATCCTTAAAACTCCCAGACACATCCACATCAGCCTGTCTGTTTTGAACTTAGTTGGTTTAGAAAAAACAAATAAAATCTCACCTTTCAGGTGAAGATCTATTTTATTTGCATGTGGGTAAAAAATGCATTAAAATACCTGAATGTTACCTCAATGTAAGTGAATGCAAGATATAAAGAATAAGAGTTGTAACTCTTTTCTTTATTACTAAGAGGTAAATTGCACTTCCCCCATTGTAAAGTCATAGGTGGAGGTGGTAATATCTTTCCTCTAATATGTATGCATAATAACACTGCTTCATGCCTCATCGGGACTAATAATGCATGTATTAGTTGATAACTTGAAACCTTGATGTATAACACCACCAGTCGCTTGATGATAAGTGGCTGCTTCATCAGTGTGCTTTGCATAAAGATGGAACTGAGGTGCTCTCCAATCAAACCGGGGAGCACAAACAAGATGGGAAATGTTTTCATCGTCGTTGGGAATATTAAATAAGCGTCTGCGACGTCGCGTTAAATATCGGAGGGTTGTGCAGAGGGCAGCTGGTCGGGCTTCTGCAAAACAGATTTTTTTTATGAAGAGCTTTTGCCTGTATAGATTTTAAATAAAGCGCTTAGTTGAAGGATATGGGTTGTTATTGAAAATGTTCATTTGTGTGAAGATGAGAGAAGTTTTGATAGGTGGGAAAGCAATTAGTAAGAGCTGCTAAAATGTTTAATGCAAACAGATTTCAAAAGTTGTGGACTCTTGATCTTAATTGGCTCTTGATATTCTCATTGAAATTGCATTGATATGATAGAAAATGTTGCAATAATTAGTGGCTGACATTCATTGTGTGCGGCTCTGCTCTGAAAACAGTCAGAAGCCCAATTATTCCTGAAGGAGTTGTCTTTCATATTTGTACTGGCTGACAGGGCGCAGCGTGAAGAGCCTCCACTCAAGGTAAACAAAAAATTAAGCGAACTTTTAAAAATAGCCGAGGGAAATACGAGGGAATGGATGGAGACTTTTTAGTGGTGAGGCTGGATGACTTTGCATGCTCAGATCTCCCGCTGACAGTAATTGCTTTTGTTGGAGCAGATAAATTCCTCTTAATGGATTTTTTTATTATTATTATTTTTCAACAAAAAGAGGGTATGCAATTACTGTGAAATGTAACTTTTTGTCTCTCTTTATCAGCAAGAGCCAATATGTTTGTTTTTTTTTTGGCAATTCTTCGTCTGACGCATCGTTTAAAACACTGGAAAGCAAACATTCAACCTGTTGTCAAAGCCCAGAGCCGTAAATTCGTTTTCATTTCAGCGAGCGCGCCTCCGCGTCTTTACCAGGAATCCATGGTTATTGTCTGTGGATGAGCTGTCACCACCGCATTCAGAGCAGACAAATCTTCCTTCTCAAGACAGTTTTGAGGACATGTGGTGCTATAAAAAAAAAATACTTATTTCCAATACCTGTGGAATTACTGTGTCATTTTAAGTCAGACATTGAAGGAAACTGATCCAGAAAACAAACCACGTTTTTCTAATTTTAGAGAAAACAAAACTTATCTGTCAAATCACATAATTTACAAATTTGTAATGATTTGACAAAAACAAATAAGACCCAATGCAGACCATACAGATGAATAAAGTGTGTACTTTTTGTGAACACAGTCATTGGTCTAGAAGATTATCCATTATCCATTCTTAGAAGAAAACTGGACCAAACCTTAGATAGGAGAATCTCAAATAAGACAAGAACACAACTTTAAATTCAGAATCAACCTAAAATATGCATAAAAACATAACATTAATTATTTTACAAAAATAGACCTATTGTTTACTCTTTGAACCTATTATTAAACATTAGCATAATAAAGAAAACTTTTTTTTCATAGACCAAAATGATGGAAAATCTACATTTTTGATCATTTTCTGTGAAACATCATGTCTTGGATCTGGCTACATTTAAAATATAAATACCAATGACTGTAATTGTTGTAAGAACTGCAGTTCTTGGTGGAAACATCATAACAATCATTGACTCTGCTTATGCTGTCTTTATTTATTTGTCTAATTGGCTGAAATAGTTACTGTGTTGGGTTATTTACTTTGACAAACAGTTGTAAATATAAGCTTTTATTTTGTGAAACTGAAGCCATAAAGCAGCTTTTTGCTGCTCTATTTAACTGTGTACAACAATTTACAAAAAAAAATAATAATAATAAAAATTAAATACTAGACAGATTTAAAATGAATTTTCCTGGAGCAAAACTTTCAGTTTTTTTTATTTTTAATCACAAAAATTCCTTTTGAAAGAAGGACTAGAGAAGGAAAGCAAGGCTCACTAATACTGATTTGGAGGACAGAGGCTGACTGTTC